TGAACAGCCATGAAAGGGTTAAAAACAGTCAGAATGGTAATTCAAAAAGCTACCAGTGAATAGGATGTGAGACAACCAGGTTGGGGTTCAAGCACCCCTAGTTATTATTTCACTAATATGTTCCACTCCTTTGCAATTCTGGAATTAATCTGACAAATTGTCCTACTTAAGCCACAATTGGAAAATGTATAAATTGACTCAGTTTCCAGTTCCTTGCATCTCCCTTCCCAACATTAGCAATGTGCACAAGTGTATTAATAAAGCCCTTTAAAAAAAATTGAAAGTGGGAAGCACAATGTCCTATAAGATCTCCACCTTCCTAACTAGCATCACTTCTGTCTCATCTGGGTTCAGTTTCAGTTCATTCACTTTCAGCCTTTTGGCCACAGCAGTCAGGCAGTGGCACAAGACCTCTACCACCTCACTGGAGGATTTGGATAGAGAGATTTAGAGCTGGGTGTCATCTGATTTATCCTAAAGACTTTACACAGACGTTGAATAAGATGGGCAATAAGGTTGCACACTGTGAAACCCTACAAGAGAACTCCCATTCTGAAGACATCTGGCCTCCAACTTCAGCCTTTGAGTCTGATCCGTGAGCAATGATTTAAATCAGCCCAAGGTACATCCCCAAAACTTACTTCTGCCTCCAAACACCTGAACAGGATGGCATGATCCACTGTATCAGTTGCTGAAGACAGAGTGAGTAGGAGCAATTTTGTCCAAATAAAGATGGTAGACATTAACTAAAACCTCCAGAGCCATCTGTGTCAGCCAGAGTGAAAAGGGTCCAGAGCACATGAGTTGCTGACTCCATCACCTTGCCTAGAAAGGACAGATTAGAGACTGGGTGATAATAGTCCACATCATTTTTCTATAGAGATGGTTTTAAGTAGTGGGACAGAAAACTGCCTTTATGAGTGGCCAAGGGAAGGTGCCCTGAGTTAGTGACTGATTTCTGATAGTCATCAAGGATTCATTAATTTGATCCTTACATGACTTTAGCTGTATTTAATATTGCCAGGATTGTTTACTCTGGCTGACAGAGGCTCCCAGGTAGAGGTTTTTCACGTACTACCTCATTCTTTTTAACTAGCGATAACTGAATCTGTATTAGGGCTGCCAAGTGGGGGCGGGTAAACCCCTGCTTCGGAGGCCCAATTTCCGCCGCCACGGAATCGGGCCCCGGGGGAACTCTGCCCCCCGAAGCGCAGCGTGGCTGCGTCACCAGAGGTGACGCAACCACGTCAATCACGTTGGGGGCGTGGCCCCAATCGTCGGAGGGAAAACTCTATGGTTTTCCCTCCAACGATCGGGGTCACACCTTCAACGTGATCGACATTGCGCGTCACTTCCGGTGACGTGCTGGTGGCGCGCGCACATCGAAGAACGGTTCCCGGAGCTCAGCGAGGCTCCCCCGCCGGTAAGAAAAATTGACTTGGCAGCCCTAATCTGTATGCAAGACAATTGCTCTACCACTGAGCCACAGCCCCTTCCCAGTTTGAACTTATTAAATAGTAAGGGAGAAATTAGGTTAAATGATAATACAGGTGATGGAGACCTAGAATTTCTTTCACTATTTTATCAATAATACCTCAATAAACCTAGAGAATAATGACAATAAATTCATATTGATGGTCTATAGATTGATGCACCATTATGCCCTCAGATACTGCAGATATAGATTTTAAAAATTCTATATACACCCATGCATGTTATCTGTGTGTATGATGACAAAAATAAGAACCTCCCAGTACTGCATGGGGATTTTCAATGAAGTTCACAAATTATTTAATAAGGCCAAAAGCTCAAGAGAGGAAGAAGCTTCTGGAAAAAGCATAATAGTTTTATTTGGTTTTCCCCAGTTAGTTTTTTCTAAGTTCCATGGTTAGGTAGACAAACTAATACCTGATATAGCTGCATTTCCTAATAAAGGCTGTGACCACAAGTGAGATAAATGATTTGTCCACGTGTCTTTTTTTATATTGTAGCAGGTGAAGTAATTATATGGTGCAAACATTTTTTTTGGAGGAAATCACTTCCTTATGAAGATAGTGCAGGCATCAGAATGCTGAACCAAAATGCAGCAACACATGTTTTTATCAATGCGAAACACAATGCTGCATCACTACTAGTGCAATGGATCAAGATCCTATTGATTATCCTCCCAAAACCTAATGAATTATGAAAATCATGACCTTTTACAGAAATCTTGGTGGACTAGCCTCCTGGGGAAATAGGGGAGAGGAAAAAATATGATTGGGGATTGTTTATTGATTTTGGCAGAAAGGAAATAAATGGCTGGCATAACTTCTAACAAAGCAAAACTCGGGATGAAAGAAGTACAACAGAACACATTGTTGTATTATCCTTAGGCATAATCAAGGACAGACCTGAACAAAAAAACTGACTGGGCTTTCAATCCCTTACAAATCTTCACCATTCAGATCAGGGTTTCCTAGGCCCCGGTCACACGGGCAGGAAACTGCGGGGGGGAAGCGTGGCTGTTTGCCCTGGGGCAAACTAACACGCAGTAAAGCGATCATACCTCCTGTGGAGGTTCTGTGGAGGTACCGTAGAGCTTCTGTGGTTACGGAGAGGCGTCGATCACAACACATGCCTGCGCGCAACGAAGAAGCGCGCGGCGAACTAGTTTTCTTTTTTTGTGTTCACTACGAATGCGCATGCTCTGTTGGATGCATGTGCGCAACCACGGGGACTTGGGGGGGGGAAAACCTTTTTCACAAGGGGACATGGGCGGGCGCCGGATGCCACCGGAAACGCGATCAGACGCCCGCCCTTGCCCCGCAGTTTCCGGAAACTAGTACCTCCGAGGTACTAGTTTTTTGCTGCGTGGTTTCGGGAGGAAGCCTCGGTTGTGCCACAGAAGCGCTACGCTCCCCAGATGTGCTGGTGAGATCGCGCCTGCAAACTCCGCCTGTCTTCCGTATCTCTTGTGTGGCTAATGTTGCGTGTGACCGCAGCCCTAGAGTGACTTAAGTTTGCAGAGGAGTCTCCCTGTCTACCTAGTGGTATCACTTGCAAAAGCAGCAGGGAGATTTGCTGTAGAGCCGTTTACTTAACCAAGGTCTCATGTAGGACTGCAAGATCCCTCCTGGCAACTGGTGGGGGATCAGAGGACTTACCAGTAGAAAGAAGAAGGCCTAGGCCAAGTTACCTGTGTTCCATAGGAAATGACATCATCATGACAGTAACTTCCAGTTTATGCTCTGGTATTTAGGCAAAAACTCCATGGTAAACCTGGCTTCTATCATAGACTTTTCCCCCAAAACCACAGCATCATCTGGAAGTCACTGGCTTTCTGTGTGATGCTGGTAACATGGCCTAGGCCGCCTTCTTTCTACTGGTAAGTCTGCCAGCCAGTGGATTGGTGGCTGCAGGGCAGAGGCAGGCAGTGGTGGACCACCCTCCTCCTCCAGTCTCATGACACTTCAAAGGCCTCACAGTTATGCTTGGGCAGTGATTTCACCAGGTAACAGCCTCAAGTCTGTCTCTTCATTCCAGTTTTATTAAACAAGTCTTCATCGTTTCTACTTCATAGACAGGGGCACGTTTCAGGGGAAGACAAGCATGTAATGGATTGATTGTGTGAGTAGTGGTAGGTTATCACATGGATAATTCCCTAGCACTTGCCAAAAATGATTTTCATCTTCCTCTAAAGAATCGAGTGATTTATTAGGGTACTAGTAAGTGCTACATCCCATGTTCTCCCATCCTTTCTTCTTGAGAAGAGGTCTAAGGATATGGGGTGGTTGAGCAATACTATATGATCGGGGAAACTTGAGGTCTGCAAAAAGTTTCAGATTGAACCGCATATTCTTTCTTCAGATTCATTTGGGGGTGGGGTGGGGAGACTAGCCCAATGTCACCCAGCAATCTTCCCGACACTGTGGATTTGAACCTGGGTCTCCTGGATCCTAAACCAACATTCTAACCACTACAGAACACTGTTTTATATGCCTTCTTCCATTAGCACAGTTCCAAAAGAATGTTCCAAAGACATTAAGAAAAAAACAGCTCATCTGGATCATGATACATTTAGAGCTTATCCAGATGTTGCAAGAACACAGCACTGCTGCCGCCTCGAATTTATTTCCCCCCTCTTCCTCGTAAAGCTGATGTGGACACAGTGCAGGAGGCAACATTATTGTGCTGTGCATTGTTCTCAGCTAACAACCAACATTGTGAGTGGGGATAGAATAATGATGTCACATTGTGCATTATGTTCACCAAGAAACTGCAAGACAGTGGAGGCAAAAAGACACAAAATAGAAGCAGTTCTGTTTCTTAAGTAATATCTAGTTACAGCTTTATCAATAGGACCTTGATTGCTGAGCTGGGAGCTCCTGATTTTCAAAGCCACTAAAAACTTTGCTATTTTGATGTTTCAAATGTCTTTTGTATTGTTACTGCTAATTTAACGTTAGAAGTTTACTATATACCTGTTTCTTTTTTGAAGGCTTACAGCCAGGACATCAGGAATTTTGATGGTTGTGAACTAATACCCAATGCAATGCCTAGTACCCCCACCCCCCTGCAAAGCTCAACTATACCTGAGAGAGGAACTTTGGCTTATTGGACCACTGTGCTGTGAAAGTCCCATGGAAATGAAAGGGAACTGCCATTCATTTCAATTGGATTTATTGAAACAGTTCTTAGTATTTAGGATGAATTCAATACATGGGATATTCCAATGAGTCTAATAGAAGTATATTAATATTTATTTATTTCTTCAACTTCTACTATCGAGCAAAAAGATTCCAGACAAATCTGTTAGACTCAGTTTTTTTCAGTGAACACTATGGAAGTCAGATCATTGGAGATGTTTGGAAATACAGCTAGATCAAACAGGTACTGGGAAGGAATATCTCTGAATGGTCCAAATAAGTTTAAAATAACTCACTCCAGAGTTATTAACACGGTGGATTCTAGATAGGGTTGCCAGCTCTGGGTTGCAAAATACCTGGAGATTTTAGGACTGGAGGCTGAGGAAGATGGAGTTGGGGAGGGGAGGGACTTCAACAGGGTATAATGCCACAGAGTCCACCTTCCAAAGCAACCATTTTCTCCAGATGAACTGATTTCTGTTGCCTGGAAATCAGCTATAATAATGAGAGATTTCCAGCTACCGCCTGGAGGTTGGCAACCCTAGTTCTAGATGTAGCAAAATCACTAAGGGCCCATTCGTAGAAGTATGTTTACCATGTAATGGCTGAAACATCAGGTGATGACTTATACATGTGGAAGATCACAGATCGAACATCAGAAAGATTTCATGTCAGAACTGGTAACGGGACTATGTCATACATTTGGCTAACAATGTATAGCCATCAAATCATGCCGTTGTGAAACATCCCTTAGTAAATGCGGCAAAACCAATTATGGGATCAATTCTTTCATAGTTAACCTGGGTACATAGTTCCTCAATTCAGCTCCTTTCCCACCTGGATTGCAGCCCCGTCCGTCGTCCTGAAGAGTAAACCTTGGGAAGCATGAACACTTGTAAGATCCTACTGTGTTGATGCAGAGGTGCTGGCAGAGCTCTCCAGGATAGACAAGGCACTCATCCAGGTCATCTCCAGGTAAGCTGTTTGACAATTCGGCTTCATTACTGATCGACAAGGCTTCATTGTGATCCTCAATCTCTGAAACTGCCAACATGCTTGAGCCATTAATCGGGATAAGAATCCCCTCCCCCAAAAAAAGAGTGCATGCTCTGTATGTGTGAATTACATAACTTTGACCATTATTAGATACTAGCAAAGTGCTCACCAGTAGGTGGAACTGCCCTGTGTATAATCCCATGATGATTTTGCCAAACTTCATTCATTTATTTATTTGAAAGACTGCTCTCTACCTGCTTGGTGACCAATGCAAGCTAACAATATAATAGCAACATTTAAATACAATTAAACAATGACAGTTTGCACAAGAATTTTATAGGCTGCTGCTACAGAAGCTTTACTTTGAAAGAAAAGGACTGGAAAGTCCCCACCTCAGAGCTGTTCTTACTACATTGGAGGGAAATTTGAGTTTTGCCTTCCTCATCCCCAGCACCAGTCTTAAAAATCTTAATCCCCACACAGGTAATCTATTTTTTTAAAATCTCCAAAAATAATCACAGAGCCACATGTGAAAAAGCCTGGAAAATTAATCATGAAACTACATGAACCATATGGTGATACAGAATCTGACAGACTGCTTCTCTGAGCAAAGAAGGCACCTCCTGCCCAGAACTTCTCCTATCAATAATGACTTTGGTAGCACTCATGTGTCTGACAGGAAGCCTTCAGGTGACAGAAACAATTATATCCCCTTCCTTCAGATAGGAGATCTCCCAACTGGTCTCTCTAGCTGTCCCTTTACTGTCAGTTTGATGTACAAGCAACAATCAGGTGATGTTGTTTACCTCAATGCCACAAAAAGCTTCGGCTGACTAGTTCCAGTCATTAAACCCCTGTTAAAAGGACAGGACCTCCCCCCCCCCATTCAGTTGGTAATCTTTGTCAGTCCTTGTCAGTCCCTGCCTGCCCTTGTTGAAAAGCCATGGTGGCAGCAGTGGCATTCTCCCTTCTGAGGGCAGAACTAAATGTGTGCAGTTCCATGCATATTCTCCTCACTGAGTATTTTTAACAGAATGCAGCTGTAACACCTGTGACTGAAATGGACATTCTGGTACAGGAGAAACTAAGGCTCCTTCCATTTTTTTCTTAGTGTGGGTAAAAGCAGGATTATATGCTTTTCATTGAGAAACCAGTAGAAGGGAAATAATTTATATAGCAGTCTATTCCCCCCCACACAGAAACACACTAGACTGCCCCTTTAAACCACAACTGTTGTGGCTGCATTCTGTTAAGGACACAGATCATGAAAAATAATCATAGAATTAACACATAGTATACCCAGGGGGTCAGAACTCAGCATCAACTGTCCCTTGATCACACTGAGATTTTCAATATACACATGGCATGGCCTGTAGTGGGCAGAACAATGCAGGGAATCAGGTAATGGAACCTTAAAGAGCACAATATATAAATACAAAATATATGTAAAAGTTTGAGCAAACGTCAGTTACCAGTCCAATGAAATGTGAATGAAAAAGGGATACATTTCCCTGAGTCCAGAGATTTATTTGTACATGCCAAGACCATCTTCAAGATGGTAACCATATACCAGCAACAGATGCTAAGAGATGAAGATCATATGAAAAACCAGGAAACAGTGTTTGTTTTTAAAGGGGAACATTTTCTTGTTCTATTTCTGCCTCGATCGTTGCCTCTGGGCAAGCTTGAAGCATACGTAGAAAATCAGGCATTTGGCAGGTTTCAGCTTACTTCCTTGCCATGGGTAAGAAAAAAAGGCCTAGAGGTCAAATACTAACTGGCAGGAGGGAAAGCTCAGGGAGAAGGAGAATTGAACTTTCAAATGGCCATTGATTGGGATAATTGCTTTAGTTCTTGCTGCACAGTTCATTTGCCCGCAAAACAAAGAAAGGAGAACTGATTTGCCTGAAATAATACCAGAGAGGCAATGATAAATGCCATTGTTTTTTCAGCCCTGGATGTTTTCTATTGCATCATGCCATTTCTCAGTTGGCCTTATAGTGTCTGTCTATTTACATAAGAAACAATTACCATATATTTATTGTAATACCAGTTTGGGAGGAAAGTGATGCATTTCTTATAAACTTGGTGTGAGATAAGAAGTGTGTGGTAAGAGATTAGTGGTGGATGATGGTGCAAACTGCGAAACCCAAATCATTCTGCTGGATTCTCTGGATGAGTCATAGACATTAAAAAGCTATGTGAAAATCAGTGACAGTAAAAGAAACAGGTTTATTCTACCCTTCCCATTCTTCTTCTGAAATCATTGTTTTAATTCATGATCTTGTACCAACAACTGTATTCTAAAATGCTTTTGTACTTTGCAGTGATGTGCAAGCAAGGCACATGCATTTCCCAGAGGTAAAATGTGCAAGTTCCAAAATGGATATGGAATGCATGCAACATGCTGTAGGGGAAATCTCATCCCTTCGTCTGTTAATCAGAAGCACCACTCAATGCAGTATCTTCTTTTCACCAATTTTCATAATAATCACAGAAGCCCAAAGCTTCCCTCTCTGTTGTCTTCCTCCTCCTCTCTGTCCAAATTTAGATGGCAATTCCTCAGGCAGGGACTTGTCTTGCAGTCAGCTACTCTGTAAAGTGCCATGTACCCTAATGGTACTGCATACATAATAAATAAAAATAGACTTCAGCTGTATCTACTTATTAAACGTTAATGAAACACTTTGAGATTTCCCCCCCTATAGAATTTGTGAGAAGCTTCTGGTTTTCCAGCTTGGGAGAAAGGGGAGCACTTATATTTTCCATGTGAATCAAATACAGTATTATAAAAGCATAATTTGCCAGGCAGTTGCTAAGTTCACTTAAGTTTCAACCATGTCATCTAATAAAGAATTAAAAATCAACAAAGTGAACAGAAAACTATCATTTCAATTTTAGCATCAGGCTTAAAATCCATAAGAACTCGAGATTTTTGAGCATGTTTCTTAAATAAAACTTTTACAAGAAGCAGCACAGACTAACTCAAGAATCTAAATTCAGCAAAAAGAGGAATTGTATCAAAAAAAGAGGTTAATGTATCAAAGAGAACTCTGATGTGGTATATGATAACTACAGCAAGAATGACGTATGCTCAGAATTGGAAACAGCAAGAAGTCCCGAAGATTGAAGATTGGATTAAAAAAATATTATTTTCAGTTGAAATGGACAAACTGACAAGAAAGTTGAATAATATGGAAGCAGAAGATTTCTATAAGGACTGGAAGGATCTAAAAGAATACTTAGAAAAGTATTGGGAAGTAAAAGACAATTTGTTTAGTTTTAATAATTATTAATCATAGAATGCTTAGGAGATAGGATAAGTTAAAAATTAATGAGTATAGTGAAATAATAGTTACCTAGTGAATCACAAAAAGAAAATTGTTGTTGTAAAAATTAATAAAGAGATGGGCAGGAGGTCGAAGCCCTGTGGGAAGCCATATATTAGGGAGGGGAAAAGGGAGGTGGGTAGGGTATGAAAGGGACAAATGTAAAAAAATTAATGTTGATTATGAATGTTTATATCCTAAATAAAAAAAAATTGACAAAAAAATAAATTCAGCAAAAAGAAACATGGGGGACTGGAGCAAAATTCCAGTATGTCCAACATTGCCCACAGGATAATTTTAAAAGCCAGAGTGACAATGTAGTAGTCCAAATACATGCACATTTAACTGACACAGCTTCATGCCAGGTGTTTGCTTCTATTAAATTACCTGGGGCAACTGCTGCTGTCTAATCAATGTTCATTCAGTTGCTTTCTTTTTATTCCCCCCCCTTCCTTGTTTTTAAGCCTTACCAGCAATATTGGCTGAGCAGAGAAACAGTTACAGGAAAGAGGCAGATATCAATCTATTTTTAGTCCTGGAGAATTTACAACACTGTGAATTAGGAATTAATATCCCTTTTAATTCTGTGAATTCTGTCTGAGCACATCATTCCAGTACATCAAAACTGTCTATTTTTAGAAGTATGGTGAGCATCAGCAAACAAAACTCAGGTGCCAGTTTCCATGCTGGGAAATTTCTAGAGATTTTGGAGTTGGAGCATGGGGCAGGTGGGGATTGGAGAAAGGAGGTACCTCAGTGGTGTATAATGTCATAGAGTCTACCCTCTGAAGCAACCATTTTCCCCAGGAGAACTGATCTCTGTGATCTAGAAATCAATAGTTATTCTAGGATCCATGCAAGCCCCACTTTGAAGGCTGGCAACCCTATGTTTTCTATCCTCTTTCCTGCCCTTAAACAGGCAGAAAAAAGGGCTTTAAGAGGGAAAGAAAATGAATTCAGGCTTCATAGACTGCAGCGTGTGCAGGAGTTGTTGGACTAGTCAGTAAAATAGTGGTATCTTGATAAACTCCGGCTCCATTCCAGCACGAACCATTCAGACTTAAGCTCCTCCATGTTCCCCCCCCCAAGAGTATGCTGTGGTCTCATGGTACCCGAGAAAACAGATTACCTACTCATGGAGGATACTGTAGTGCCTTATAGAATGTCTAGTGGGCCACATGTGCTATTCTTTATTAAAGGATAGCACTCCCAGTCTCCATGCAAACATAAAGCCTCAAGGAGACAGGCCTTGCTTGAATCTGCCCAAAATTTATTGGATGCCCTTCGTTCCATGACAAGGACTAATAGTCTGCCTCTCAGTCTTTGAGACAGGTTCTTCAGGCAACCAACATAAAAAAATGAAATGCCAGATGCTTAGGTGAATAATAATGTTTTCATCTGGCACATAAAACTTAACAAAGAAGATTCCAAGCGGAGAGCAGCAGGGAGAAAAAAGAGGAGAGTTTTACAAGAATCTTCATCAATTTTGTCCTTCCTCACTGCATGAGGAAAGCTTTAGCCAAATACTGCCAGATTTGTGAGAATCCTCATGTATGCACAACACTTCAGTGTCTCACTACAAGGTCACAGGTATTAGATCTCCTGTCCTCTCATACCTTTTATGGAGAGAATTCCCCCCACCCCCAGCCTTGAGGTAGATTTCCAGTCTTGGAAAACTCCATCAACTTTGTTTTATTTCTTTCTAGCTCTGCATATGTATGTATCAGTTAACAACAAAACCCTGAAAACAGGCATCAAATTGGATTTGTCTCCCAAGGTTATATATAAAAACCTTAATACTTTATATATTTTGCTTTATGGTGGTACCAAGGGCATAACTGGTGATCATGTAAGACTCAAACAATAGAATTGGCAAAAAGATATTCTTTTGAATTTAAATACTGTATGTTGATATTTAGAACATGAAACTGAAGAACAACATGTTCCCTTGCCCTATACTGGTTTTCATTGGGCCAATAGCATAGTTCCCTAGGATAAATAGTTTTGAACTAGCTATTTAAAATGGGAACATTTCATTCCACCCAGACACTCTCTGACCTAATGTAACAATGTCAGTTTAAACAGAGAAAATTCAAAGACAATCAGAGTTGGAATTCATTAATGTAATTGTGCTTCTCTCAGAAAGAATCACAATTGTTTCTTTTATTAGAATGTGTCTCCAATTTAGCTACATATTGTAGTGATGATATGTTTATGACACTAGTAAACAAGCTTTGCTTAGTTATTTTCTTAGCTATTTTGGTTTCCAGTCCACATGGGGGGGAAATATTCCTTAGTTCGTTTCACACATCCAATGAAGTAGGCTGTTGCCATAAAAGAACATTCCTCAATATGCCAATAAGTCTTTAGAGTTGCCATTTAAAGCACAAGATTTTTGTTGTAGATTTTACAACTTAGCATTGTTTCTCAGAGTTCTATCAAGGAATTTCCATTCATTAATTTAAGGTTTGTCTTTCCTAATGGATGCATGTTTTATAAAACAGTACTACACATTTTGATGGGCTTCATTATGAATCTATAAGAAATTAAATTTGCCCCCTTTAAAAAAATGGTTCTCATTAAATATATGTCTCTCTTTACTACATTATTTCCTGTCATGGATTGTGTGATAATATATTGCTGTACTCTGTTTTATGTAAAAACTAATTAGACGTCAAAAATAATAGCATGCTGCATTAATTACTTTATGATGTCTAAAAGCATAATTTATGGAATCATAAAGTAAAATAAAGTAATTCTGTAGTTACAAACAGAAAAACCCTAAGGGCAGGAGAACTGCAGAGGGAAAATGTTCAGAATCTACACCATGACAGTTGGAAACATTTCATCTGCAAACTACTGGGGCAGAGATAATATCACTTGAAGTGATATCACCTTTCAGCCACATGTTTTAACGTGGGTTGACCCACCTATGAGGCAAAAGTATACTTGCCCAAGGCACTGGCTATTTGGAGGGCACCATGTAACCATGTACTAATGCTTTAATCTCCCACTAGCTGTGTTGTTAATTCCAGTGGAGAATAAAATTGCTTGCAATTACTAGAAATTACAAAGGCACATATCAGCAGAACTAGGGAGAGGAAGAGAGGAATGCACAGTATGTGAGCATTGGCTAGAAAAAGACATATCAATGAGCTGGTCTCTTTAATAACAGCTTTTATGTTTTAATCAACTGACCAATATTATTGTACTAGGTAAATGCCTATCATTTAGACAGGTGTGGAGTGAAGGAAAAGAAAAATCAGAGATTGCAGAGTCACCATGGGAGGGAAATAATTGTGGTGTTCTCAGGTATAACGCTTGTCTGACAGGATAGAAAACAGGAAATAGGAGGGAAAAGGGATGCAATAGTTGTTGTGCCTTGCAGACCCCTGTCATCTTATTCCTCAGGATTCCCTGTCTCTCAGGAACAGCGTTTCGGGGAGATCAGCAGGCTTTAGAGTTGCCAGTGGGGGGTGGCAACCAGTGGGGGATGGGGGGACTTACCAGGAGGAAGAGGAAAGACCAGGCCACATCACTGGCATCACACAGAAAGTGATGTCATTGTGCCAGCAACATCCAGGTGATGCTCTCGTATGTGAGCAAACTCTCTATGGTAAAAATGGCTTCTACCATAGAATTCTTGCCCAAATACCAGAGCGTCACCCAGATGTCGCTGGTGAGATGATGTCACCTTCTGTGCAACACCAGCAACATGGCCTGTGCAACACCAGCAACATGGCCTGTGCAACACCAGCAACATGGCCTGGGGGAGGGGTGGCAACCCAATTGGGCAGCAGTGTTAGGGGGGAATCAGGAAAGTCCTTTCTCCTTTTTAAAAATAAATAAATTTATTTATGAGTTTTTCCAAGTACATACAACCATATGCTTTATAAATTCATAGTATTGGAGTTCCTTTTCCTCTTAATGTTTTAACAATTTATAAACTTTAATCCATCTGTTCTTAAATACATTTTTATCTTTCCCGTGTAATATCATTGTTAAATTATCCATTTCTGCCTTCCTTTCTCCTGGTAAGTCCCCCTGCCAGCTAGCTGATCAGCAGCAGGAGGGTAGGGCCTGGTAGCGGGGGACCCCTCCCTCCACTCGGAGGGGTGGCAACCAATGTTCCCTCTAAGCTATGGAGTCTTGTGAGCAAAAATTCTATTTTGTGAGCTACTGGCATTAAAATTGTGAGTGAGCAATTTGGCTGCTGCATAAATTAGTGGGCTCTGGAGCCATCCTTCCTGAGCCAAGACAAAAATGTGTGAGCTGGAGACTAAAAAACTGTGAGCTAGCTCACACTAACTCAGCTTAGAGGGAACACTGGTGGCAACCCAATTGAGCAGCAGTGTTAGGGGGGAATCAGGAAAGTTCCATTCTGCCACTGGAAAATCTAACTTGGATCCAACCCCATGAGACAGAAACAACTTCTATATACTTCTACTTTCACCGAATTCTAATAGAAGGTGAGACAATTCCAAAGATTTGTTGCTGTTGTTCAGATGCTACTTTACACAAAGAGTGATTAAAATGTGGAATTCATTACCAAAGGATGTAGTGATGGCCACAGAATACCATTTATCAAGTGATAAGGTGATCACTAGCTAAGAGAATTCCCAGAACCAGTGATTATAGGAAAGCATTATTGATAATAGCTATTTTATAAAAACTTTTTGCACATGACAAAGGAACCCCAAATAATTATCATGTGATATATATTGCACAAACTGATGCAAAAACTTTTGCAAGGGATCATATTATGGATGTATTTATAGAGCCCCTGGGCCCAACTAGACCTGTGATGTGCATCTTTCTAGCATTTTTAAAGTCAAACAGCAACTGTGCATGGCTCCAATTCAAACTTAGGCTCCTGTGTGAAGAAAGAATTTAACTCTTCTACCACAGCATGATTTCACCAATTGAAAACTGGGGGAGAGACTGACTTTTCCACACCTGCCCAGTTTCATAAATCTAAACAACAAAAACTTAGCATGCTTTTCTTAATCTTGGAAGTGATGAAAGGACAGGTAAAGAGATGCTGCCTGTCTCCCCACCCTGTCTTCTAGAGCTAATAAAAGCATTGTAAGTTTGGATAGCTTAGACTTGTGAAACTGTGTGGATCCATTCAGTAAGATCCAGTCTCAGATTGCTAAGCAGAGACAGAAAGAGAGAATGAAATGCAAGAATTTGCACCTAATGTTTGTGAGAAGTATTTTTGCCTTTGCCAATCATAGTGAAGAAAAATCAGGAAATACAAAGCATAACTTCATTACAGCTGACATTCCATATCTTGATGCCTTTCTAGTTGATGTACAATCAGTCTCCCATGATACTTATAGATGTAGAAGCTCTGCTATTTCTTAGATTTCACAGGCATTCTATTGCTGGCACGTTTCATGTTCCCCAACATGTGTGGATAGCATTTTACTTTAAGCTAATGAATTCCTCTGTGTATTTCAAAGGAATCGATATGTATCCAGTGGCTATTCTTAACAGTTCTTTCTAAAATTTGCTTGGCCTCTGAATGAAACGTGGCACTTTTCACAAATGCTTAAACAAGTAATGAACAGAAGATACGGAAGCAGAATCAAATGTGAAAAGCGAAATAATTGCTATAGCAGTTGTGAGGAGGCCAAACATCTTGGAAACCTAATAGAGAAAGCGACCAGTACACTTAGTCTGACTCTTATGTACATCCAGAATCATGTGTTTATGGAGTGAGGATGACTCTCATTGCTGTGCTTCCTGTAGGTAACAATGCAGCACTTACGTTTCTCAGGTGTTGCCGTTGGCAGTGGTTCAGGGTGCCGTTTAAGCTCTGGAAGAATAAGATGGTCTTCTCCTTCACAGCAGGAAAGCATCACATGGTTGCAGGGATAGCCAAGATTTGGGTTGGACTCACACCTTTGACCTTCACTTTTTACTCGTAGGCCCAATGAACAGCAATCACAGCATTGCTGTAAGG